GCTCCATCTCAGAATCGTCCTCCAGAGAATTCAACCTTTGATACCATTATAGAATAATACTATGGAAGGGTGTCTGGGTTTTCCTCAATTATCAGCTATTACCATTAGATCTACTTTAGGAACATTGTAATATGTTTCTTTTGGATACATATCTATCTAGGTGTGGGATTGTTAGACAATGGAGTATTTTTTTTGCTTAGGTTTAGTAAAGCTATTTCTATAAAATGTTTGTACCAATTTACCACCGGTGTATGAGAATTCCAGTTGCTGAACATCTTCACCAAATCTTGGTATTGTTAGCCATTTATATTTTAGCCTTTTTAGTGATTGTGTAGTGGTAGATCACTGTGATTTTTAATTAACACTTTTATAATGACTAATGCAATTCAGCACATTTTCAAATGTGTACTGGATATTTATGTATATATATACAAATATACATATTTTACTTACCAGATATGCTTTATTTTTTTCTTTTGTTGAATTTAGTTGACTTAACAATATTACATTAGTTTTCAGAGTACAACATAATGATTGGATATTTTTATAGATTGTACTCCATATCAAGTTATTATGAAATATTGGCTATATTCCTTGTGCTGTACATTACATACTTCTAAGTTACTTATTTCATAGCAATTAGTTTTTACCTCTTAGTCTCCTTCACCTATCTTTCCCTTTTCCCCACACCTCTTCCTACTGGTAACCACTAGTTTGTTCTTTGTGTCTGTGAATCTGTTTCTGTTTTGTTACGTTCATTCGTTTTATTTTTTAGATTCACATGTAAGTAAAAGCATGCAGTATTTGTCTTTCTCTGTCTGACTTATTTCACTAAGCATAATGTCCTCCAGGTCCAACCATGTTGTAGATGGCAAATTTTCATATTTTTATGGCTGAGTAATATTCCATTGTATATATATATATATACCACATCTTATTTATCCTTTCATCTATTGATGGACACTTAGGTTGCTTTCATGTCTTCTATTATAAATAATACTGTGAGAACATACTGTATACACAGGGAACTCTACTCAGTGCTCTGTGGTGACCTAAATATGTTACCACAGCAGAAACTAACACAATATTGTAAAGCAACTGTACTCCAATAAAACAAAATTAATAATAATACTGCTATGAACATTGGAATGCATATTTTGTTGAGTTGGTGTTTTTGTTTTATTTATATATATACCAAGGAGTGGAACTGCTGTATCATGTTTTAGTTCTACTTGTAGTTTATTGAGGAACCTCCATACTATTTTCCATGTGGTTCTATGAGTTTACAGTCCAACCAACAGTGTGCTAGGGTTTCCTTTTCTGCACAACTTCATCAGCACTTGTTATTTCCTGTCCTTTTGACAATAGTCATTCTGACAGGATTGATGTGATATCTCATTGTGGTTTTGATTTGCCTTTCTCTGATGATTAGTGATGTTGAGCATATTTTCATGTCCCTGTTGGTCATCTGTATACCTTCTTTGGAAAAATGCCTATTCAGGTCCTCTACTTTTTAATTGGGTTGTTTTTTGATATTGAGTTGTATGATTTCTTTATGCGTTGGACATTAACCCCTTATCAGACATCATTTACATATATCTTCTGTCATTCAGTAGGTTGCCTTTTTGTTGTGTTTATGATTTCCTTTGCTGTGCAGAAGTTTAAGTTTGATTAGGTCCCATTTGTTTATTTTTGCTATTGTTTTCCATGCCTGAGAAGAAAGATCCAAAAAAATATTGCTAATACCAATGTCAAAGAGCGTACTGCCTATGTTTTCTTCTAGGAGTTTTATGGTTTCAAGTCTTATATTTAGATCTTAAATCTATTTTGAGTTTATTTTTGTATATGGTGTGAGAAAATGATCTAGTTTCATTCTTTTGCATGGAGCTGTCCAGTTTTCCCAGCACCAATTATTGAAGAGATGATTTTGTCCCATTGTATCTTTTTGCCTCCTTGAATGTAGATTAATTGACTATAGGTGAGTGGGTATATTTCTGGGCTCTCTATTCTGTTCCATTGGTCTATGTGTCTGTCTCTGTGCCAGTACCATACTACTTTGATTATTGTAGCTTTGTTATATAGTCTAAAGTCAGGGAATGTGATACCCCCAGCTTTGTTGTTTTTCTCAAGATTGCTTTGGCTATTCAGTGTCTTTTGTGGTTCCATACCAATTTTAGGATTATTTGTTCTAGTTCTGTGAAAAGTGTCATGAGTATTTTGATAGGAATTGCCTTGAATCTGTAGATTGCTTAGGGTAATATGGACATTTTAACAATATTAATTCTTTCAATCCATAAAAATGGGATATCTTTCCTATTGTATGGGCTTCAATTTTCTTTATCATGTCTTATAGCTTTCAGAGTACAGTTCTTTCACCTCTTTGGTTAAGTTTATTCATAGGTAATTTATTCTTTTTGATGCTATTGTAAATGGGATTTTTTCTGCTTTCTTTTTCTGATAGTTCATTATTAGTATACAGAAATGGAAGAGATTTATATTAATCTTGTATCCTGCAACTTTACTGAATTTACTTATTACTTCTAATAGTTTTATGGTTGAATCTTTGGGTTTTCTATATATAGTATCATGTCATCTGCAAACAGTGACAATTTTAATTCTTTCCTTCCCAGTTGGATGCTTTTTTTCTTTCTTGTCTAATTGCTATAGCTAGGACTTCCAATACTATGTTAAATAGATTGGTGAGAGTGGGCATCCTTGTCTTGCTCCTGATCGTAGAGGAGAAAAGCTTTCAGATTTTCACCTTTGAGTATGATGTTAGCTGTGGGTTTGTCATAAGTAGCCTTTATCATGTTGAGCTATAGTCTCTATATACCCACTTTGATGAGAGTTTTTTCGTAAGTGGATGTTGAATTTTGTCAGATGTTTTCTCTGTGTCTATTCAGATGATCATGTGATTTTTATCCTTTATTTCATTGATGTGGTGTTCCATATTGATTGGTTTGTGGATATTAAACCGTCTTTATATCCCTGGAATAAAACCCACTTGATCATGTTGTATGATTCTTTTACTTTTTTTTTTTTTTTTGTTTTGCGGTATGAGGGCCTCTAACTGTTGTGGCCTCTCCCGTTGCGGAGCACAGGCTCCGGATGTGCAGGCTCAGTGGCCATGGCTCACGGGTCCAGGCACTCCGTGGCATGTGGAATCTTCCCGGACCGGGGCACGAACCCGTGTCCCCTGCATCAGCAGGCGGACTCTCAACCATTGCGCCACCAGGGAAGCCCTGATTCTTTTAATGTATTGTTGAATTTAGTTTGATAATATTTTGCTGAAGATAATAATTATCAGGGATATTCTGTAATATTCTTTTTTGAAGTGTCTTTTTCTTGTTTTGGTATCAGGGTAATGCTGGTCCTGTGAAATGAGCTTAGGAGTGTTCTCTTCATTTTTTTGAAGTAGTTTGAAAAGTATAGGTATTACTCTTCTTTAAATGTTTGGTAGAATTCTCCTGTGAAGATGTCTACTCTTGGACTTTTGTTTTGGAGGAGTTTTTTGATTACTGATTCCATTTCAATACCAGTCATTGGTCTGATCAGATTATCTGTTTCTTCCAAATTCAATCTTGGAAGATTGTATGTTTCTAGGAATATTCATTTCTTCTATGTTGTTTCATCTGTTGCTTTATAAATGTTGCTTGTGATTGTTTTTATGTCTGAGATATTGGTTGTAACTTTTCTTCTTTCATTTATAATTTTGCTTATTTGGGCCTCTTTATTTCTTAATGAGTCTGGCTGAAGGTTTATCAATTTTGTTATTTTTTCAAAAAGCCAAATCTTAGTTTCACTGATTTTTTTCTATTTTTTTTTGGTCTCTATTTTATTTACCTCTATTCTGATCTTTATTGTTTCCTTTCTTCTGCTGACTTAGGACTTTGTTCATTCTTTTTCTTATTGCTTCATGTGGAAAGTTAGGTTATTTATTTGAGATTTTTCTTGTTTCTCGAGTTAGGTCTGTATCGCAATAAACTTCCTCAAAGAACTGTTTATGCTGTGTCCCATGGATTTTGGAAAGTTGTGTTCTTATTTTCACTTATTTCAAGGTATTTTATGATTTCCTCTTTGATTTCTTCATTGACCCACTGGATTTTTGTAGTAAGTTGTTTAGTCTTCATGTGTTTGTGGGGGTTTTTCCCTTTTTATTTTCCTACAATTGATTTCTAGTTTCATACCATTGTGGTCAGAAAAGATGGTTGATATAATTACAATGTTCTTAAATTTACTGAGATTTGTTTTGTCACCTAGATTGTGATCTATCCTGGAGAAAGTTCCATGAGCACTTTAAAAGAATGTGTATTCTGCTTTTTTTTGTTTTGATGGAATCTAGTGTAGATATCTATTAGGTCTTCTCTAATGTGTCAGTTAAGGCCACTGTTTCCTTACATATTTTCATTCTGTATGATCTATCCATTGATGTAAGTGGGGTATTATAGTCTTCTCCTATTATTGTATTAGTTTCAATTTCTTCCTTTATGTCAATTAATATTTATTTTATAAATTTAGTTGCTCCTATAATAGGTGCACATATGTTTACAAAAGTTATATCCTCTTGTTGGATTGATCCTTTTTCATTATATAATGCCCATTTTTTGTGTTTTATTATAGACTTTGTTTTTTTTTATATTTTTTATTTTTTTTTAGAAGATGATGCTTTTATTTTACACTCTCCAACTCAACTGGTAGTAGGATAAGTGGTAACGAATTTTCTAACAGGCCAGTACACAGTATGTATCAAAACCCTTAACTGTACGCAAGCCTTTAATCCATAAATTCTACAGTTCATGATTTAAAAAAATCACCATGGGTTTTTGCGGGGATTGATGTACAGATGTTACCTATATTATTATTTTATGATAGTGAAAAAGTCAAAAGAATCTAAATATTGTGCATATTTCCAAACAATGTTCTGGAAATAATCTACTAAATAATAATCTTATAAAGGTACACGGAATGTGTTCTAATACAAAAGTTTAAAATATGCCGGAATGCATTTCACAAGAGAGAGAACACTTTCAACTGGAATCAGTTAGTATGTTTGTACTCTAAAATATTACTTAGGCAACAAAGATATTTTAGAAAAAAAATGTGTGTGTGTGTGTGTGTGTGTGTGTGTGTGTATTAAAGATTGCACATTAAATATTTAATAGTGATTCCTTCTAGATAATGGGCTTAAAGGTGATTTTTATTTATATTTTATAAATTTTCTACAATAAATATGCATCTTCTTAAATATTTTCTTAAGCAAAAAACAATAAATAAATAAATGTCTACTTTGATATTCATGCCAAAAATGATAGAAATATTTTATATGCTCAGGAATGATTTAAACTGCCTAGGAATTATCTGTTACTTGAATATTAGATTAAATTTGTCGATGAAATTATCTGTGCTTCATACCTTTTTAGCAGTAGTGTTTTTGATATATTTTTTCCACTTCTATATGCTACCTTTTCTTGCATCAGTATTGGCAAAATATATATTTTTTTCTAACATCCTCATTTTCAAGATTATTAGCATAGAGTAGATACATATTCAGTTATTTTTATTACTTCTGAATCTGTGATTATGTTTGTCCTGTGTAATATTGTGTATTTGTGTCTATTTTTTATTAGTTGTACCAGAGCTTTTGGCTTTTATTTATTTGATAGACTATATTGTATGCTATGCCATATTAATAACCAATAGAATAAATCCAAATGCCCTCTACAGAGAAAGAATTGAATTAAAAATAGTTAAATAACATATAAATTCTCACTTAGAATGAGAAGTATGTGGACTATAATAATATATGGATACATTTATTGAAATAGCATTAATTGAGAAGAGCAGAGGTCATAATATTGTGGCTATCTAATCTGCGATTGTGTAAAAACATGTCTGTACATTAGGAAATATTAGACAAGAGCAGAAGTGTTCTGAATAGTGACATTTTGATCATTTTTTAAACTGGCTACCAAAATTCATAATTGAATATAACTGTAAGAAACTGAGGTTTTAACTTGCTGTCCCTTTTCCCAGGCATTCGTTGTGGGCCACCCCCAGCCATCGCCAATGGAGATTTCATTAGCACCGACAGAGAATACTTTCAATACGGAACAGTGGTGACCTATCACTGCAATCTTGGAGAGAGAAGGCAGAAGCTGTTTGACCTCGTGGGTGAGCCGTCAATATATTGCACCAGTGAAGACAATCAAGTTGGCATCTGGAGTGGCCCTCCCCCTCAGTGCATTACACCTAATAAATGCACGCCTCCAGTCATTGAAAATGGAATAAGGATGTCTGAGAACAGAAGCTTATTTTCTTTACGTGAAAGCGTGAGGTTTAGGTGTCAGCCCGGCTTTGCCATGAAAGGACCCTCCACTGTTGAATGCCAGGCCCAAAACAAGTGGGGGCCGGAGTTGCCCAGCTGCTCCAGGGGTGAGTCTGACTGAGGCTTTGAAGGGGCCTACAAATGACGTGAGTTGTAGGAGGATCAGGAGGTTAGTGTCGGTTCTGGGGGGAGGATGTGTGGTGAGCAGTGCGAATGGGTAAATTTTCTTGGGAGGAAACATTAAATAAAGCAGGTGTGTGTGTATGTGTGTGTGCATGTGTATGTGTTCAAACTCAGAAGCAAAGATAAATCTGGGCAAAGAATGTAAAATTTCCTTGGGATGTCACTACTGACATCATCATCTTTCAGTTCTTCCTTTTTTTCAGTTAAAATAATCTTTTTTTAAAAAAATTTATTAATTACTCTTGATTATGGTAGCTGCTAATATGTAATGACTGATTCTTCTTGTTAGGCACCGCTATATAGTCTATGGATTCACTTAATTTTTTTTTAAATTAAATTTATTTATTTGTTTATTTTTTGGCTGCACTGGGTCTTCGTTGCTGCACGCAGGCTTTCTCTAGTTGCAGTGAGCAGAGGCTACTCTTTGTTGCGGTGTGCGGGCTTCTCATTGCGGTGGCTTCTCTTGTTGTGGAGCACGGGCTCTAGGCACACGGACTTCACTAGTTGTGGCACGCGGGTTCAGTAGTAGTGGCTCGTGGACTGTAGATCGCAGGCTCAGTAGTTGTGGCGCATGGGCTTAGTTGCTCCACGGCATGTGGGAATCTTCATGGATCAGGGTTCGAACCTGTGTCCCCTGCATTGGCAGGCAGATTCTTAACCGCTGTGCCACCAGGGAAGCCCCACTTAATTTTTAAAACAAAGACCTGAGGTAGTTACTATTCTTTCCATGTTTTACATAGAAAGTGAGTCTTAGAGAGGTTAGATAACTGTCCAAGATTAAATAGAGACTAACTCTGTGAAGACAAGAACCCAAGCCTACCTGACTCCAGAGCCAGGGAAATCGAAAGCTACTCTAGATATTTCAAGGAGTGAGGGATTTAGTGCAGGTAAGAGACTATAAAGGTGTTAAAAGGGCAGGAAGAGCAAAAGGAGGAAGGCAGTGTTACCAGAGCTCAGGGGGCTGCTGTTCCTCCTGGACTAGAGCACAGGCACCTGCACTCACTGAGCAGGTATTTCCTCCAGCTGCTCATGCTGCAGAAGCTGCTGCTGCTGCCAGAACGTAGCTGAGGTTGCTGGAGCCTGCAGTCATTGGTATTGATAGAATTAATGTTGCTGCTGCTAAGGAAGAGCCATCAGTTGCCACTTCCTGAGCCTCCTTTACAAGAAGAATGACTTCTATCATCTTGATACCTTTTAATTTAGTATATATGCCTCCAATTGTCAGAGCTTAACCAGGACCCAGCTGGCAAGGAAGATTAGCAGTTGTACTTTCAGGCTTCTGGCCCCAGCAGTCAAAGGAGAATGCAGAAGTGTAAGGCTGGGAGTCAACAGAGGTTTAACCAGCACAGCACTTAAATTATCACATCACAGTGCACTTATTAATCAAGGAAAACAGTGGGGTGATGAGACCTGAACTTTGGTGTTACAGCATCAGAGTATTTACAAAGTCCTTAAGGGGGTCATTTATTCTAGTCCAATGCCCCATTTTATACTTGAGAAAGCTAAAGTCCAGAGAGAGAAACTGACCTGATCTAAGCCAAAATGAAATGACTTTTCATGTTACTACAGTTTCATATAATTTAGGAGATTCAAGTGCATTCTGATTCTGAGTTCAAACCAACTGTATAAAGAGACAGAGGCTCAGTTGCAACATATGGTATGGAATATGCACTCGCATTGTGAGGGCTGTAAGATTTTTAGAAGATTTCATTCAATGGTTGCCCATCTTCTCATTGGAATGAAGTGAATGGTTAAGCAGGACCTGGCCCTGTAGAGTGCAGAAAGGAGACTTATCTTCTCCACCAACCCATGTCAGGTGGCGTGACCACTGGAGAGGAGCTGGAAAGAGATGAGAAGAGATGTATGAATCTTGTTTGTCACAGCAGAGTGTGATAGGTGATTGGGAAATCTGTTGGATGAGATTTGGGCTCAAGCTTTCCTTATTGCCAAAAAGGTGGATATAAATTGGTGGTGCCAATAAAAATTAAAATAAAAATATAAAACTAAAAATCCATCATTAGGGGCTTCCCTGGTGGCGCAGTGGTTGAGAGTCCGCCTGCCGATGCAGGGGACGCGGGTTCATGCCCCGGTCCGGGAAGATCCCACATGCCGCGGAGCGGCTGGGCCCGTGAGCCGTGACCGCTGAACCTGCGCGTCCAGAGCCTGTGCTCCGCAACGGAAGAGGCCACAACAGTGAGAGGCCCGCGTACCACAAAAATAAAATAAAATAAAATAAAATCCATCTAAAAAAAAAATCTAACAGCTGTGTACTAAGTGAACAGTAAAAGGAAGAATTGTGGAGGGGAACTGTTTGTTGTGTCATCTTGGGTGTGTACTTTAGATGGAAAACCATGAACTGAAGATGTCTCAGTTCTGGTCACTGTCCTGCAGTGTATCAGTTCTATGACTTTTCGCAAGACTCTCTCTCTCTCTCTCTGTCTCTCTCTGTCTCTCTCTTGGTCTCTGTCTCTGTTCAATTCTGCCATCAACAAAACGAGAGGGTGTTAGTCTACCAGATTTTTAAAAACAAATAGATTTATGTTTATGATTGTCTTAGCCAGTTTACCACTGAGGAAAAGTTATTTTCACACAGTTAACAGCACTTTGGTTCTCTTTCCCTAGTATGTCAGCCCCCTCCAAAAGTCCTGCATGGTAAACACCCCCCAAGCCACAAGAGCAGCTTTTCTTCTGGGCAGGAAGTGTTCTACAGCTGTGAGCCTGGCTATGATCTCAGAGGGGCTGCTTCTCTGCATTGTACGCCCCAGGGAGACTGGAGCCCGTCAGCCCCCAAATGTGCAGGTGCCTATACTGTCATCTTGTTTGTGGATCAGTCTCTTTGTCTCTCACAGGAACATCTCACTCCTGTGTGTGTGTGTGTTTTTTTCCCTAGTGAAATCATGTGCTGACTTCCTGGACCAGTTACCTAATGGACATGTACTCTTTCCACTTAATTTTCAGCTTGGAGCAAAAGTATCCTTCGTTTGTGATGAGGGGTGAGTGTGAGTTTGCCTGGCCTACTGAACACTGAAACTGAGGTTAATTCAAAAAGGGAAGGTTTAGTGTGATTTTTAAAATAGGAAATACTCAGGGATGTTAAATTTGGGGAGTGTATACGGGAAGTTAAGAGTAAGGAACAGGTGGAACTAATAACATAAGATATGAAGGAAAAACTGAAACGTATATTAAATGGCATGCTTAAACACAAATACAACTACTGTTTAAGAGTATACATAGATGACACATTAAGTGAAAAAATCATGTTTTCCAAGCATAAAAGACAAAGAGTAATTTGGAGAGTTCCAGAAAAAGTTTGATATGTGACAAAAATCTTATTAAAAATAAGATCATTTAAGAATTATTTCAGGAAAATTTTTAACCATCAAAAGTGAATTTTGTAATAAGAGAGAAAGTATAAGAATAAGCATTTTTAATCCAATCATATATCACCTGGTTGATAACAGGCCAAGGGCTCTGAAATGGTATTATGTTGGCTGATATTAAAGTTTTAAGTAAGGTCATTCACTTGACCTTACTTCTCTACATGGGAAGTACATCTCTACATGGGAAGTATGAAGCATGGGCAGCAAAGTACCTGATCTCAAAATGTTCCAAAGGCACCAAATAAAATTTAGGAGAATTTTGTACAAGAGTCATTTCCAATCTCCTTTCGTTTTTCCCCCCAGAATATTCACGCTTACTCTTCCGTAGCCCAGCGTGCTGTTGTCAGCCTTCTGCCTAACCATCACAAATATAGAGACAAAAGAACAATCTTTGTTCTCTTTCCAGTTATTCTCTGCTCGTCCAGTCCAAACTGGGAGCTGTTTTACTAGCTGTTCCAGTGCAGTGTCATCACTTGGAGGATGTTTTATTCCAATAATGACTATGAGTAGATTTATCAGCTTTACCGTGGGATGCTCAGTGAGAGACTGATTTCTCTGAGCCTAGGTCTAATTATTTAGAGGAAAAAAAAAAGGGAAGGATAGAACCTTAGGACAAATGGTGGAAGCAAAGTTATAGAGACAAAATCTTACGTAGAAGCATACACATATACCCTCACAAAAAGAGGTAAAGTGGAAAAAATCATAAAACTTGCTCTCCAAGTCCACCTCCTCAATTTGGGATGATTCGTTGTCTAAAAGAGGGAAGGAAGGAAGGAAAGATAGAAAGAAGGTAAAGTATAATAGAGTTCTTTAAATTAAAATTAATTATTAAGAAAAAAATTTTAAAAAAAAAACAATGGACGGATAGAACGCTAGGACAAATGGTGGAAGCAAACCTATACAGACAAAGATCTCACACAGAAGCATACACATACACATTCACAAAAAGGGGAAAAGGGGAAAAATCATAGATCTTGCTCTAGAAGTCCGCCTCCTCAATTTGGGATGATTCGCTGTCTATTCATGTATTCCACAGAGGCAGGGTACATCAAGTTGATTGTGTAGCTTTAATCCAGTGTTTCTGAGGCTGCCGGGAGGGATTTCCCTTTTCCTTCTTTGTTCTCACAGCTCACAGGGGCTCAGCTTTCGATTTGGCCCTGCCTCTGCGTGTAGGTCGCTGGAGGGCGTCTGTTTTTTGCTCAGACAGGACAGGGTTAAAGGAGCCTTTGACTCGTGGGCTCTGGCGCACTCAGGCCGGTGGCAGGGAGGGGCACGGAGTGCGGGGCGGGCCTGCGGCGGCAGAAGTCGGCGTGACATTGCACTAGCCTGAGGCCCGCCGTGTGTTCTCCCTGAGAAGTTGTCCCTGGATCCCGGGAACCTGGCAGTGGCGGGCTGCACAGGCTCCCTGGAAGAGGGGTGTGGATAGTGACCTGTGCTCGCACACAGGCCCCTTGGTGGCGGCAGCAGCAGCCTTAGCGTCTCCCGCCCGTCTCTGGTTTCCGAGCTTTTAGCTGTGGCTTGCACCCGTCTCTGGGGTCTGCGCTTTTGGCCGCGGCTCGCGCCCGTTTCTGGAGTTCCTTTAGGCAGCGCTCTTAAAACCCCTCTCCTC